GAAGTTGTTATGCAGGTTGCACTTAAATAGCTCACGTTTGACTGCAGAGCACCTGTTGGTTGACTTGGAGACAGTAAAATTCAGGGCAAAGGCTTCCCAAACACAAAGGGTTGCTTGTGGAAAAAGACCTTGTTGATCTTGGATGGAGTTATAACCAGCACTTGATGCCTTTAGTGGGGCATTGTATGGTGCACTAAGTCTGTACATGTGTTTCTGTGTGTGAAAAAACAACACCTGAGCTAAACAGAGAGCACACAGCTAACGGGCTTTCTTCAGGTGTGTTTTATGGAGCACTTTTGAAAGGACTTTTTGTGTAGGGCCCTTGGAAACTCTTTTCAAAGCCCTGCTCAGAAGTGCCGGGGCCTGTGGGCCACCTTCCCGCTCAGGGCGTGCATCGTGTGCCTCATGTCTGCCCATTGCAGACTTGGGTCTGTCAGCTCGGGTGTGCCAGGCCCTGAGAGAGTCTTTGGCCTTGATGGGAGATGGAGGAGCTTGAAATAAAAGTTTTACAGCAAAGTGTTCTCTCCTTCTGCCAGTCCCAGTTCGTTCAGCTGGTGGCACACGCTGCTGCACCCTTGGCTCCTGCTCTTAGAGTCAGCTCTGTGTCCTGACTCATTCACTGCTGCTAAAGCAGCTCAGAATCTGAAAAATATAAAAGCTAAAACTTGAGGCATCAGGATAACCTTGGGAAGATCAAAACAGAGTACTTTGAAGTGACACATGGGTGCAGTATTAATTTTCAACTACATTTAGGAATAATATTGATATTCACTTGTTCTTTACAGGAGTGTGCTTGTTTGGAAAGACAAGCAGAACTTTTGATGACAACACAGTTCATCTGTGAAATGACTTGTGAATTTTCAGAAATTTTGTTTTAAAAAGCTACTCTGAAATGCTAAGATCCATGAAGCTGTTCCTCAGAAGGCATCAGTCTAACCCAGAGCTCACAAGAGTCTTTGAACATCTTTTTGTTTTGATGCTTGGTTTTAGTTATTGGTACAATATGAACAGCATTGCCCAAAATGTTTAGAGTGAACCAAGGCATGCCACTGTGGTTTTGGCAAACAAGAATATAATGAATGCTTGCAGGTTCTTTCAGTGACCAGTGTGTTCTTCCCCAGCAGCTCTCAGGTGGGGCTGTTTGTGCAAAGGGAGATTCCATACAATCAGACAATATCTTGAGCTGGAAGGGACATACAAGGATCATAAAAGTCCAGCTCCTGGCCCTAATCTGCCAGGGGACAGGGCATCCTTCTCCATCCACAGTGCCTCAAGGAGCCATGTAGGAGCTGGTAGTTATTTCTTACCATTTGAGTTACTTCAAACCTTTCCTTTAGCATTTCAACCACTGTGCAAGACAGCACCTCTGAAATCTTGCTGAGTTTGGGATTTCCCACCACACACACACCGTGCCTTTTACCCCCCTGCAAATGCCAGAATGAACACAATCCATGTGTTTGCATATCAGGCATCAAGGTTCAGCATGGGGGAAAGCCAAGCACTGCACTGATTGCAGGCAACAAACTGATCTTCTGCTGCAGTTGTTGTTTAAAACCTGATTATTTGTGCAGGCTGGATGCTGAAACATTTAGTTTGGAGCTGGACAAGCAGAACTGACAAACTGGATGGTTGCCCATAAGGGAGGCAGAGAAAGGAGGAGCCTCTGGTATCACTGAAGTACTTGACTGGTCTTTTCAGCAGGTATTTTTCCAGTTCACAGCAGGCCACTGACAGCAGAAAGTGCAGCAGCAGCAGCCTCAGCAGTGAAACGTTACAATGGGAGGGAGATAAAGTGAAGGATTTGTTGGAGGGGCAGTGCCAGGAAATGGCTGAGACATCACATGACAGAGGATGTGCCCTCTGCAGCTCAGGGACTATTTACTTACAGGCGAGACTTCACCAGGCTCCACCAAGGGCAGTCCTGGTGAGTTATTTCAATTACCTGACCCACTTGCAGTAGGAAGTCATTATAGAGATAGTAAATACCTACCCCACCCCTGCTAGGCAGACAGACTCTTTGCCAAAATGGTCTAGCTCAGCTTCTCAGAATATAAAATATTGTACCTTTCTAGTTGAAACTGGCATTGCAAAGACATCAGAAACTGCTGCTGTTCCAGTAAACTGCTCCATTTCTTGGCATTTGACCATTGTGGAGAGAGCTTCCAGGATTTATGTCTTACCACCACCTGGAGCACAAATAATACGAGAAGAGTAAGTTGGAAATTTTTCTTAAGGTGCAAATCTCTTGCTTCTCACATTGATGGGAAAAGCTCCCAGGCCTTCTGGCAGTCAGGGAAGTTGCCTGTGATGGAGATTCTGAGAGGAGCTTTACACAAGCATTCATTTGAAGTGTTAAATAGACTCCAACACAGTTTTTCCTAGACTTTTTTGTTTTACTTTCTTGTAATGAAAGCTGCAACTAACATAGCACACATAACATAGAATCACAGAGTTGTTAAGGTTGGAATAGATCTCTGAGATCATCAAATCCAACTGTCAACCCACTACCAACATCCTGTTCATCACTAACATGTCCTCAAGTGCCATATCCACACCATATAAGTATTTTTTGAATACTTAATATGCTTGGTGATTAATTATTGTTAATTGATTGATGGATTTTAAAATTTCAAGGAGAAGCTTGAAACATTATCTACAAGTTATCATTTTTTTAAAAAAATCATGTTACTATTATAGTAAATCGTAACAGTAAATTCTTTCCCCCTTGAAGCAATGAGATTTTACCAAGGGCCTGCACAATGCTGACCCTTAACATAACCCTGCAAATTATCACCAAAATAAGATTTTAAACTTGCTTAGACCAGAATATAGTTGGAGAAAGTCCATTCAAAGACAAAAGATTTATACTACTGCAGCAAAGAGCAGGTCTGGGCCAAAATAGATATTAATTTAAGAGGACTTGCTTAAATTAGAATGATGATGGCCTTTGCTTGGCCTGTAGGAACAGGTGATGACAGGAAAGGAAGAAGAAAAGAACTGGCATGCCTTCTGCAGCACAAAGATCTCAGCTTAATTTTCCTTATATTTTGCGAGACCTATGTGAGTCTTACCCAGGACTTCAGGCACTGAGGTGCTGGGATGTGGTGGAACAGTCCATATGAAGACAGAATAGAAACTGAAGTAAAAAAATTAATTCCTTTAAAGGTCTCTGGTCAGAATTTAGGGGGTAATTCTCCATTTGAGAAAACCAGGAGATGAACTTGCTCATCCTCTGCAAAGCTGATGAGGCTTTGCTGAAGTTGACTTGATCTACCTGTACCCACTGGGCTCAGGTTGTGCTGTGACTTCCCAGAGCAGCACCTGCTCATGGCCTGGGTTGGGCTGGCTTAGGAGAGATCACAGCCAAGTTAAAAGGGATTTATTATCCTGTTCTCCAGGGGGATTTGTCATCTTTGTGCAGTGTTAAGGACAATGGATCATATTGGGCTCACCAGGGTGTTTAATGCACTAAGGCAAAAATCTAGAAGGGGTATAGGCAACCAGCTCTGAGGCTGGGATTCAGAAGCCTTAATTAGGGGTCTCTTGCACAGTGATTTGGGAAAATTCAGTGTCTACTAATGGGATTCACATGTACCAGTACCCTGAGTACAGGCATTATTTATTACCTTCAGTGATACAGGCATAGGGAGCTCAAAAAAGAAGTACTGAAGAAAAGGATGTGTTTCTGTGCTTTGGTTGGTACCTCAGGTCCTTTCTGGGATCTGGCCCCAAATGCTGAAGCTTTATGTGTTTACAGTTGCACTGAGTTTCCTTAAGGAAATAAATCAAACCAAATTATTTTTTTTGTTTGACACTGCTATTAAAGTAGAAAGGTGAACACCAAATTGCTCAGGAGGCCCAGAGCTAAACTGGAGCCACAATTCCCTTGTTTCTATTCTAGTTTTGAACGCCCTTCATCAACTAATCACTGCCTGGCACAGTATTAAATTTAATCACTGAACTCCAAAACATTGTAATGTGTCTACCTACTCCATGGTTCCATTTGGATGGAAATTTTCTATCTCGTTTAAAGACTATTAAAGCCCTGCCTTTCTTGCTCAGAACAAAAGGGTATTGTTGGATTTGTTTTTCGTTAGGTTCGTATTCAACAAAAGATGATTATTCTGTCTGCTCAGTGCTGAGATCCCTGTGAACATGTAGACATCCTCTCTACTTGCTTTTCTTTCCCCTGGCTGACTACAAAATAGAAACATTTCCTTCTCACAGAAGTGCATGGTTGAAAGGCACAAAAGCAGATATTATTTATCAAAATTTCAAGGTTTTCCTAACTTAGGTATTAATTGAAAAGTTGATGTGAGGCATAATTGAATAAAGAAGCAGCGTTGCAAGGCACAGCAGGAGCAGCAATGAGATTAATACACATTTATGATTAAGAATTCATCTTTCATGAAACAAAAACTGTTGTTTCAGTAAAAACCTTTTGACCTTTAAAGAGCGACGTGGCAAACCCACAAACATGGAGTTGTTTGTTTGGTCCCTATTATTGCCATCACACTGTAACCTAGGGAAAAAACCTTTTTTGATCCTCCTGTGGGCAGGAGAGCAGGATTCTTGCTTTTGGAGAGCTCACAGCCCATTCACAGTGGGTTGACTTTTAAAAGACCCATTTATTGAGTGACGCAAGGTGCAAATTATGACTCACTCTGCATAGGTTAAGTTTGTGAAAAATCAACCTAGATTCATCTCCTGAGCACCTACACAGCTGCTTAATCCTTATATTATCTCTGGGGTCCCATTAACCCTTTGAAAGGAGGGAAAATGATCTGCAGCACAACCCAGCCAAACTTATGTTCTTACGCAGGGAGCTGAAGTTTTTATTTTATCAGATCTAGTGAGGGACAGATTTTCTTCTCCCTGGCCAGGATTAGATCACTAGAGTGGCTCAGCAGTCAGAGTTTGAACACTTCCTCCCCTTCCAACAGCCCTCACAAAAAATCCACCACTGCTGGTGTTTGCTGATCTGTGACACTGTTTTCCAGGTCTCACCCAGATGAACCAGATGCTCTTCAGTGTCTGAGTCCTCTAATGAACTCGCAATGATACTGTAAGTAATTGTTGTTCATTATAAACAGCATTTTAAGCAGAAGTGTGCTGCTAGTCCAGCGTGTTTTGTTGGCTGAAACATCTCCTTGTCTTTCCCACTTGTATCATAACCTATTTTCCCTGTAGATTTGAGGGTTTGGGAGCAGTTTTGCTGTGTTTGCAGGGCCTTTCAAAGGACAGAACCACCTCTTCACCTTCTCCACCCATCGCCTCCCCCGTCTTCCCTCCTTTCAAAGGGAGAACACCAGGAAGTTTGGAGATTCAGATGTGGTTCCTAAACCTCTGTCAATGAGGAAGGTCTCCTCTGCTGCTGGAAATGGTGTGCAGCCACTGGTTCCTGTATTTCAACTCTCCTTCCTCTCAGGAAACCCAGAGTCCAAGGGAAGGAAAACCCCAAATGACCCTTGTGCAGGTCATTGCAAAAAGTGGTGGTTGCTTAAAAAGGGTGTTACCTTATGTATGTGGCTTCATTTCTCCACCTGTCCCTCTTGTGCCCATTTTACAAACAGTGGCAGCTGTTGCAGACTGGCATTATGGGATGGACACTGAGAAATGAAGTGTCTCTTTCTTTGACCCCTTGTTTTCAGTCCTAACCCAGCACAATTTTCCTTTCCTGGTAATAAGGCTGGGCTAGAGGAGGGACTGTACCTCTTCGTTACTGTGATTAAACACTGCAAAAAGCTTTTCTCCAATGTGGAATCAAATGCTGAAATTCATTTACTTCCTGTCTGTTCATAAATACTGTGTGTCAGCCCTCTGCAAGCCACAGTTTGCTAACCTATTCCCAGAGATTCCTGCAGAGAGGAAGTGGCAAAATTGCATGTAAGATTATTTACAGAAAACTAATGTGAAAAATGAACATTGGCCAGATACCTGTCTGTGTCTTTACTCAGGGAACACTTATTACCCTCTGACTTTCATGGTCAATCACAACTAAACATAAAATGTGAGTTTCACAGTCCATGTAGGAGATTGGAATTGAGTATAAAGATATACATGCTGCTGTTTTTAAGCCCATAATAAAACTTACTGAATACTTGTGAATAATAGATGCATTTAAAGGAAATTACGATCTGCTCCTGTTTAATCTTCGAAAGAAAAAACCCCAACAAATTAGCTTATAAATTCTCTAATGGTTTATTCTTTAGGGCAGAACAATGGAGGCTTGGTATGAAATTCACTGGAATCAATAAAAGACCCTCATTTTATGCCCCAAATTTGTAACCCACACAGAAGTCTGTTATGGCAGCTGCCACCTCTACTAACACACCAGGGTTCAGCCCGGGTTCCTCCAGGGCTACAGCAGTAATGGCTCTAAAGTCTGGCTGGAACAGCCTGATATTCCCTGTGGATCAGGCACAGAGCTGGACCTGTACCATGCACTCACCTGTGCCTTACGTCAGTAAGTCTACTATGTGCTGTTCCACTTGCAGCTCTTGTAAATGGAACTGAGAAATGAGCGGCATTTTCGGCCCCTGCCGCCGCCGAAACGTGACCCAGGGCTCAGGCAGGTTCCAGCTGGGATCTCGCCCCTTGCTCATGAACGTACATTTATGTTCTCAGGACCTTAGAGCTCCTTCTACACGGGCAAAAATTGTAAAAACAACATGAACAACGTTCTCTGTGTACAGCGGAGTTATTTAAAGTGCCTCAGGGTTTGAACATAAGCAGACACTGTGTTCACGTACAATATGAGCAGGACTTTTGGGTTTTGGCATTTAAAATGACAATTAAAAATACAGCAGGCATGTTTCAGCAACTTTATGGGTTGCCCTAAACATCCAGAAAAGGATTCACTGTAAGGATTGTTTTCTTTCTTTGTGTTCTACCTGTTTTCAGTGTGATGTGTTGTAACACAGCATGAAACTAAAGGGCAGAAGGTGCCTCTTGCATTGGAAACTGTTGTATATCAAAAAATGCTTCTTTGGGAGAGTCAAAGTTTACAGACTGTTTGGCTCTGTTCAGGTAATTGTTTTAGCTTCCTGCTCAGGAGTTTTCTATAAAACCTTGAAGAGAAAAAGCCCCAGAGAGGTCTGGGAGGTGAAAAACTCTTTTCTTCCTCAGCAAGAAAACAACACAACAGACTCAAAATCGGTCCCTGGCACAATTCTGGGTACCATGCCACTACCTGAATTTTCTTAGAAATATTTACCACAGGAATGACATTTCTGCATAGTCAGGCAGCTCTTCCCACTGTAGGTGCCTGACAATTGCCAAGGACTGGGAACTGTACACTGTACCCTGTCCCTGTAAGGAATCCAGTGTTTATAAAAATATAAGGAACACCTTTTTGTGTTTTAGACATTAAGGTAAGAAGAAGAACCTGAATCTCAAGTTAAGCATTTAATTACAAGGCCTTTCTTCCTCAGTAATTTTTTGCCTGCCACTTGTAAACCTTTGGCAAAAAGAATTCCCAGCTTCTTTGGCTTGCAAACCTGACTCTCTTATTAATCAACACCTAAATCTCCAAAATGCTTTGAGATGTTGTTTTGATATTTAGTGGCATGTCTCTTAGGATGGTCAGCTCTTTCCAAGCCTTAAAATGGGAGGTAAAGTACAGTTTGTTGTTAGATAGTTCTGAAATCCATCTTTCCTCTTTGGGATACTTTAGCCATGTTTCATTCTGTGCTTGTATTGAAACCTCACAGCCATCCCCTGACCACCTAAAGATGCTCAGCCAAAATAAATCCCCTGCAGCTTCCCTGGGTTTTTCGCAGCCCCTTCTCACCATGGGAGTTGTGTGGCTCCTCTTTAGTGAATGCCAGGGTTGGGATTGTTTTTCAAGACTAAGTGAGAAGTAGGTTCCTGCCCTGAGTTAAGCAACACTCCGTGTTAGTGATCCAGTGTCTCAATCAAGGCAGGAAGAAGTAAGGAAACTGCTTTATCCTCCTGAGTGCTCAAAGCAATCCCCAGGGACTGGGAATGGGACATCTGTCAGAAAAGAGGGAGATAGAAGGTATCTTAGGGCTACATTTGTTTCCTGTGGCTGTGCCTTGTATTTTATCTCTTTCCTCTCCCCATCACCACAATTCAGGACTGCGCATGAGCTCTCTTCTCCCCTTTACCTTTATTTATTTCCTTTACTGAGGCAATAATTTTGCAATCTGAGGGATTCAGAGCCAATCCCATTCTCCCTTTCTACCTTGCTGTCTCTTTTTCCTGACCCTGCCACAGCTGCAATGCCACGCTGTGAACAAAAACTCAAAGGTCCTTTTTGTTTGGTCGATTTTTGCTTTGCATTCCTTCCCTTTCCCTTGCATTCCTGCTCAGTGTAGCCCTAGCAGCTCTTTTCCCTCATGTGGAGCATCAGGCACATCCCCCAGGCCTCCTGCTGAAATCTTTCCCTCCCTGAAACATGACCTTGTGCTGGATCTCACCCCTCATGCAGGTGCTCAGCACAGAACAAACTTCAAGTCTAGTTACGAGCTGTTTCAGGGGGTGAAGCGGGCATGAGATAAGGTACAATTTTAACACTCATCCTTCATCCAGGGCAAATTGGATGTTAATTGTTGTGACTCTGCTGGGGTGGACGATCTTTCTAGCTCTGTTATGCAACAGCAGCTGTGTGACTTCTTCATTTGTACAATCAACCTGAAACTGTCTCAATTAAATCACACTTGTAATTGCTGCTACCATGAAAAAGGGGAAAAGCAGCTACAAGAGGGCTCCAAAATCCTGCTCTGACTCCTGTACCCTGGTGAACAGTGCCAGTAGCTTCTCTGGTGATGGAGACCTGGAGCTTGCCTGAACATGGAACAGAGTTGAATAATCCCTTTCACCTGTTGTACATCCCAGGTTTGTCCCTTGCCTTTCCTTTGCTTGTCCTTTGCCCAAGCTAGTCACAACCAACAAAAATTTCAGCTGCTTGGCCAAGTGTGTCACAAGCCACTGCACCTTAGTCTTGGCAAATTTATCTTGCTGTTCCAAAAATTCCTCACACTCCTTGGCATTTACTCCTGTGAGTATTTGTAGACTGTTATGACTGCCCTTACTTGTTGTTTAACCATTTAGCTGTGTCCTCATAAATCATTCCCCCCTCAGCTCTTTAGCTGGGCTCCCTGCCTGTTCTCCTAAGTGTGAAAACTCCAGGCTGAGCTCCCCTTTCCACATCTGCTCCCCACAGGATTCTGTTGGTGGCACAAAGTCGTTGCTCAAGCCATGATTTCATTCCTGGCTTGTTGCATGATCCCTTGCTGACCGAAGGATCTCTGGTTCTCTGCAGCAATAATGGGTTTTATTTCCCAGGTCCTCCCACATTCTCCTAAGACTTGTTCCACCTCTTCCCCTGAGTTAAAAACCCCAGTTCAGGCTCCTTGCCCCTTCTCCCCAAGAGCACAACTTCTGGGAGAAGCAGAGGCAGGGAGTATCCCTGCAGTCCTTCTGCTCCCACTTCCTTCATCCCTCAGTCTCTCCTGAAGGGCTTCCCTGCAGCCAGAATCCCCTTCCAGGGGCAGCTGGAAGATGGGCACGCACAGCAGGGCATCCAGGACATCCCAGGTGGGTGGGATGGGCACCCACAGCACATCTCCCAGGTGGGTGTCTAGTGGAGCAGGGTAAGGAAGAGTAATTGGCTGGATTCAAACCTTCTCTTCCCAAATGTGTGGCAGGAGCTGGTGGCCAGGGAGCTGGGCCATGTGTTTATCACATTTACCATGGGAAATTCTGGCATTTTTGCCCCCTCCTGTGGGCACCTGTCTGCAATCTTGGAGTCTGGACTTAACACATACAAATTTCAGGAGCTTTGTGGTGAGGACAGGATATGCTGTTGATTAAGGCATCTTGGAAGCTATCTAGATCTTAAATTAATTGCCACAAAATATTACCAGGAAGAAGAGAACCCTCCAAAAGGTGCATTTATCCAGTTTATGAGGACAATGACTACAGCAAGGATTGAAAATTATTAAGAGCTGTGTGAAGTGCAGGAATTACTTCAGAGTCCAAATGAGGCTTTGCTTTCAGGGAGAAGAAAGGAACTTCTTGTGGGCAGATTTGCCCATAGCTACTTATTGCAAATTTACTTTCATTTTTTTGTTACATTTTTGTGCATGGTTGCGACCACAGATACAAGAAGGACCAGAGAGACCCCTAATCTGGCACAGGGTATCATCCAATCAGTTTAGCACATTGACCGTCACATGCAAAGTACAATGTTGTTCCCTTTTCAGATGAATAAAATTTGGAAGTTGCAAAATGATCACTAAAGCAAGAGACAGGTTGTGATGGAAGACATTTCTTTTCCTAAAAGCTCAAAAACTCTAGACAAGCCTCCAGTCTGTGCTGTGTTTCCTTCCTACTTGCACATTCATTTTATCTCCTCCACTCTCATCCTGCATGTTCCTGTGTTAGCTGGGGCTGATCCTGCAGTGAGGTCTCTTTCAGGGCTCTTCCATCTCCAGCTTGGAATAATCATCCATTTGCCTTGTGGCAGAGGAAGAATTCAGTTCTGAATTTGGGATGATGTGTTGAAAAACTACTTTTTTTTCACCTCTGAGCTCCAGAACCACCCTTTAAATCTCTGAACATGAACAAGAGGGTCCAATATGACCATGAGTTAAGTTAAATTGTACCTGGGAAGTTTAGTCTTGTTTAATGGCTTTGTTCAATTATTCTACTTGTTCATTTATCTTTACATTAACATAAAAATCATGCAGTCTTTCTCCTCTGAAATAAAGGAGATTCTTATAAGAAATTCAAGTCTCTGCATGTTTTTTTTCTTTGTTTGTTTCTGTGACTGCACACATGCACTTTGAATTTTTTTTTTAAAATAACTCCCTGAGCCACATTTTCCCCCTCTGTTTAAATCTCTTCAGACATAAGGCAAGTACAGAGGAAGAACTACAAGTGTAAAAAAGAAAAATCTTGTTCCTCCCTCAGATCTCCAAAATCATGTCGAAGTGTTGCACGTTCATTTAAGCTGCTGTTGAGAAAGCCACTGGTGTTCAGCAAATTATATTAGATTTTCAAAACCTTGGCAATGGCTTTTGAAATTTGATTTTCTGTGTCCCAGATAAGACAGAAATGCAGTAATCCATTTGGAAGTGAGGGTCTTTCAGTTCTGTCTGGTTAGTAGTTTAGTAAAAGTTTAAATATTTATTCACCAGGAAAGGTTAGTCCCTACCATGCCATCTCATGCTCTGCTACAGGGTTTTATGCTCTTTTTCTGAGCCTTTTTCACCAGGTCCATGAAGTCTGACTTCTCTTATTGGCTTCTCATTGTGCCATTCTATATTGATCATGCTGGAATGATGACCTCTAGAGAAGGTCCTGGAAATCTGTGTGCCCTGGACGGGCTACACACTCATCAGACTAAGCCAGAAACAAAGCTGAAATCTCTTCTGAAAGTCAGGTTGAATGTTTAAAATGAACTCGAGGAGATCTCTCTCAGAAATATCCACATCATCACCACCCTCTTCTTCAAAAAGCATGAAGGTTGAATCAGGTTGTCTGATTGATAGAAACAGTTTCTGCACTGGTGTTGCACAAACAAATGTGGGAACGCTGCAGTTTCAGAACGGATTGGGATCTGCAGAAAGGGGCTGTGATCCCTGTGACCTCCTCATGAGCTGTGAGTGCCTTACAGGAGGAAATGTGGGACCAAGCTGAGAACCTTTGTGTTGGCTGTGTGAAACAGTTCCAGCTTTCCCTGTGGGGAAACATGGAATCCTTGGCTTAGGGTTGATCCCATGAAATGGCCTCGTGCCCACTGACTCAGGGCACTGTGTATAAATTGGGTAATCAAAAGCTAATTACCTCCTGTAAAGCATCTCTGCTCTTGAATCCTGTGGGCCATTTCATCCCATGACTGATTGCACGTCTTCTCACTTACATTTGATCCAGCCTCCACAGAAGGCAGTAGGAGTTAATTTTCTGATTTTCCTGGGAAGGGAACTGAGCTCTGTCCTCAGTGAGTGACTTTCTCTGAGCAGATGGCTGTTGCTGAGCAGTTCAGTCAGAGCAGGAGCTCTGCAGGAGCCATGGGCTGATGGCAATTCTCCTGGTGCTGCTCAGGAGAAGGCCCTTGGCACACCCATCCTCTCTAAGAAGCAGAAGCACACATTTCTGTGGCTTGCTCTGCAAGCACCTTCCCCTCAGAGATGGTGCATTTAGAGCACCAAGAGTGGAGGGAAGTGTAAGAGGGTTTCTCTCTCCTTCCCAGGCCATTTCTAAGCAGCAAAAAAAGAGCAATTAAGAATTCAGCTGACTTAACCATTAAATATAATAGATTTAAAAAGCCATTAATTTTTTTTAATTTTTTTTTTTTTTTAGTAAAGATGCACTGGAAAACCTTATTTTAAAAACACAATCTTACACTGTGAGTTGTGGGCACAAAATTATTAATGCTTCATACCTGCAGCTGAAAAAGGAACCATGTACCTCTCGATGTCAAATGTGGCTTTAATCTGCTTCACAGCTTGTTTTGTTTTGTTTTTCTCTGTTTCATTTCCCTTTGCGGTGTTAAACTCTGACCCTGAAAGGTGAGGAAGTGAAGGAAATGGAAGAGTGAAGTTTGGGGAGTCTGAGGCACAAAAAGCCAAAGGAGCCACGGGACAGCCTGTCTGGTTGAGAGATTGAAATGTAAGTGGACTCCTCAAATTAATTACTTTGGAACCCACTCACTTCTGGATGTGGACTCCCTTAAGCATAAGTCTTACATGATGTCACTGAGATGGCATTTGGGGCTGATTTATGTTGGCACAGGAGTGGCCATAAAGTGCACATGTGTGCCCAGAGTAGCCCCTTTTCAAACAGAGCATGTTTATAGAAACAGGAAACGTGGCTGGAGCAGGAGCACCCCGAGCCACTGCTGTGTCAACAGCATCACAAATACAGGTATCCAGGATCTGCACCCTGCCTGCATTTTCCGTGGATTTCCACTCTGCTCTGTAGCCTGGAACACACTTACAAGAGATTAGTGGTTGGTGGATGGAGGAAAAATGACTTATTAGGTGAAATTTGCTCCACTAAAGATGAGTATCTGACCAAGAGCCACATTCCACATTTTAATCCTTTTCTTTCTTACTCTGTCTAATTCATGGCTGATATTTCACAGTGATAATAACTCTCTTTTTTTTTTTTTTTTTTCCTCCTTGGAGAATGAGGACATATTATATTAATTATATCTGATTCTATAGTCCCATAATTTATCTTAATAAAGTATGTGATTTTTGTCTGAATAAATCTGAAGCCTTCAGGTCATGCTCAGGGTAGTGTAAACTTTTCACAGTTCTTTATAGTACATTAGAAATAGTTAAATATATACAAGCACTTTTAGGAGACAGAAAAGCAGATATAAATGAAGATCAAAAATTGCAGAGCAGTTTTGGTGACTGAGAAAACTGTACTGTCTGATTCCTCAGATGCATTTATTTGCATGTTCAGTCTTCAACCTGTTCTGAGTTGCGAGGTGCTATAAATATACACAAATAACCAGCTCCATGATGTGTTTGGATCTGCTGTGCCTCTAGTGAACATGAGGGGTTTCATGCTCCCAGAGCTCAGTGTTTTGTACACAAAGCACCTCTAAGTTTCTAAGGAGAACCAATGATGCAGGAGGAATCCTTTTTCTCATGTGGTATACAACTCTCTTTTTCTCTTCCTCAGTCTGAAAAATCCTTGTTTTGGTAACGAAACAATTCAGGAGATTTTTTTAGGGCACATCTGATATTAGGAGTTGGGAGAAAGATCTTCCTGTTGTCTCGGAGAGGAAATGCATGTGAATCCTAAAGCCTGAAATGCTGTGTCTATGAAGATTAACTTGAAATAGGAATCTGTAATGATCTTTTCCATGGATATATTTTACTCTTACACCTTTAGAGCTGACAGGGGGTGTAAGCACTGCTCACAGGAGCACATCTGTAGCACAGAGAGTGACAGCATCAACCAGGTAACTCAGAGAGTCTGGGCTACCTCAGATTTTACTGAAAAGCAGCAGCAACTGTGCTGCAGTTCTTGCTCAGGAGATGTAGATAATCTGGGTCTAACTGAGTAGGCCATGGGAGTAGGACTGGTGTTTTACCCACCGAAAGCTTACATTCCCTTTGGACATGACATGGGAAAGTATTTCTATTAGGGAAATACAGTTCCTTCATCAAGTGTCTTAGGACTTGTCTATTTATTGATTGCAAGTCAGATAAATTTGTCAAACATTTGTAACTTGCAGAATGAAAAGCAGAACCAAACAACCTGTCCTTGGTGTTTTATTGCAGGAATTATTTCATGTCAGATTGCTGAGTGTAGCACTCAATGAATATCCTGGCATGGTCACTGCTATTGAGGAGCAGACAGGAGCTGTGATGCTCTGTTGGATTTGGACTGGGATGTATTTGTCTGCTTTTTATTGGAAAATTGCTTGCAGGTAAAGCCTTTATGTGAGTTCTCCTTTGCTGTTTCGTTTCAGGGCATGCTGGTGTGTTTGGGACAAGATTAGAACAGAATAACAGAACACTTATCAGAAGGATTGGGAAACAGATACTGTAGTGCTGAGTGGGTGTCATGAGGGAGGGATTTTAACTTCCCTGGATTAGAGCCCAGCACAGGGGTAGATGTAGGAAAAATCACGTCGGCAGAGAATTGTATGTTGAGAGTCTGTGGGTGTGAGCTGAGGACGCCCCACAGCAGCCTGGAATCCCATCTCTGCTGTCTGGAATTGCAGGAATAGGCAGCACAGGAGCTCTGGTGGCTAAAAGGGCTGTGTTCCCTGTCAGAACAGTGTCCGTGCAGGCCTCAGATGCAAAGAGATCTGTTTGTTAGAAATCAAACCATTTCTTTCCCAAAGGTAAGAAACATAAAGTTTTTAAAGTTCTGCAACACACTTCAACTGCTTGGCAGTTCAACTGTTTTCCTTCAAGCTCTTTGAAGCCAGCACTTGTCTCTGTTCACTTGTTCACTGTTCCCAGCTCACAGAGATCACTGCCTCTGAAGGACTTAGAGCAATGCACTTTACTGGGATGGGAAAGAGCTGCTGGCTCTAGCAGCCAGTTTGGTAAAGATTCTGAAAATTAGGAAGTCTCTGAAGGTGCATGTTAGAAGGTTGCTGGGAACCAAATTTCTTATTTTTGTGCCTTAACTTTCCTCTGAAATACACGCTGTGGTGTCCATGTGCATATTTGTGGAGTGAGAGTGTGGTTTTAACACCAAGCTGGCCCCTAACAAATTCTCAGACTTTATAATCTTTATACAATTGTTTGTGCCCCCTGTGTGTGCTTGAAATTAACGTACATGATGCACACAGAGCCATCAGAACAGGATATGAAACAGGAACCTCTGGAGTGAGCGTGAGCCGGACGCAGATGTGAAAGCCTTCAGGAGCACACGCTGCTTGCTGACGTTTGTCAGAAAGGGGTGGCCCGAAATCCCAGCCCAAGCAGATGTGTTGCAACAGGCACAGGAAGAGATCAGTCTTAGTGTCCCCTGATGGCTTCTCCTGGAGATTTGAGGCTATGCCAGCTTTTGTCTGTGATCCAGCCTGGATCTGGAACGAAGCGTTTCTTCCCAGACATGATGTGTTCATGTTTTGGTGTCTGTGAAGCAAAGACTTGATCTGAAACTGGACGGGGGAGCAGCAGCTTCTTATAACTTGTAACTTCTCTCTATTTGCATAAGAATTAGCCAGAGGAAGAAAAATATTTGTGCTCTTTTCTGTATGTGAAGTGTAGAAACTGTAGGGATTCGCACTGAGATTTCCCAGCTGTGCTGTCGGAGGTTTGCAGCCCACACTGCAAGTTCACCCCAGAGCACCTTCCACAGTGATCAGCTCCAGCCTCTGGTCCTGTGTAACCTCTTCCCTTTCCCTCTGCCCTCCCCCAGATCCTGGCATCTTCCTTATCTCTGATGCCCCTCATCTGACCCCTCCATTCCTGGTCTCACAGTGTCTCCTCCAGAAGCTGGACAAATGGACAGGTCTGTCAGGAGATGCACGAAGGGACCCTGAGGTTATCTCAGTGTGCAGGTTATCGAAGGGTTGCTCTCAAGAAATGGATCTGGGAGCAGTCCAAGTCATCCCAGGCTAGAGACAAGTGGAGGCTGGGCTGGTGAGTTCCTCGGGACCAGCTGTCTTGTGGCTATGGGGGAAAGATGAGAGCTCTGAAAATAGTGGTGGAGACGCCCTGGAGGCAGAAAGAGGTGACTGAGATTGAGAAATGTGGAAGGAAAGTTATTTTTTTAGTATGCATTTGGGGACTTGGAATTGGCTTCCTCTGCAAGGAAGGGCTTCCTGTAATTCTTTGACCGGTTTTATACCCAGGAGGGAATTCTTTGGCACTGGATTCAATGCACACATGGGATTTCACTTTGCAGTGAGGCTGCCCTGAGACAAACCACCTCCAAAATGTAATCAGCAAAGTTTTCCTCAGGTGCAAACTCTGTGACTGCTTCCACGTTGGACTCCTGCTTGCTCATTCCTCGGCTGGTTTGTCAAAACTTCACAACATTTAGGCTGCTTTTCCTTGCAGTGCTGAGTCATTCTCTGAATGGAGTGAGAATTAAAGGGTTTGTTACTGTAAATTTTGCTAGCCTCTGTCTGAAATCCAAGTGAGAAAAACTGCAATGTCAGTTCGCTCAGAAATGAGCTTTTAAAAGAACCTTTGTCCTCGATACTTTATATGTAACACTTGCACATATTTTGTGTTTTCTGTCACTTGTGGTCTCTTTAATTACACCACGGGAATCTGAACCGTGGCAGGATCAGACACAGAAAAAGCGTGACCAAAGGAAAGCAGAAGTTTTATTGGTTTTAAGTAGATTTTTCAGTCTAAGAGCTGACTTTCCTGAAAAGTCACCCTCTGTTTGCAAAGGTTCGTTTGCAGCCCAGAGAAGCTGTGGCTGCCCCATCCCTGAAAGTGTCCAAGGCCAGGCTGGACAGGACTTGGAGCAGCCTGGGATAGTGGAAGGTGTCCCTGCCCATGGCACTGGATGAGCTTTGAGTTCCCTTCCACTCCAAACCATTCTGGGATTCTGTGATTTATGTCCAGGACACACCAGTGCATACAGGGACTGGTGGGGCACGTATGTTCTGCAGCCTCTTTGCTGGGTACCACCAAAGCCATAATTTTAAGGATTATCCTCATGCACACAGAGGAAAATTCAGTTTTCAAAATTCTTTACTGGTGATGAAACGTAAGCCAGAACACTGCTGGCTTTTCTGATGTCAGTGCGAGCTGATGGAGTTGGCAATGAGAAAAATGATCCTTCAATTATAGGCTGAACATGTTTAAAAGAAGTCACTGAGACATAGATGGTATGGAGCCCCATATTACTATTATTATACTCAGTAAAAAAAGAGTCCATAAACTCTTCTCTCTCCTCCCTCCTCTGTTAAAAAATTAGTGTCTTTGTCACATGTAAGAGCTGTACAAGTATCAGGAACAAAACATGTAGGTGTTCTGAGCAGAGTCATTAAACAACATTTGTTAAGCACACCAAGTTCTGGACTAATTCATTCTGTAGCTCTTCTGTTTCATGTGCTCAGGTGATAAAGAATTATGCAGAACTTCCATCAGTGGCAATTTTATTTCTTGCCTTGAATCAAATGGTGACTCAGAATGAAAATGTCACTGAGACATGGGCTGTGGTGAGAC